AAAGGATGAGGGCAGCACCTCCGCCGGGTCTGGCTCCTCCGCGGCACCACGCTCTCCTGCCAAGGGCTCACTTACTGCAACACCAGTCCAACCTGGGGGAGCACATGGACATAGCAGGTCAGGACGGGCCTGAGCGCCAGCATCCTCTGCCCCAGACCCAGCTCTGGGCAGACGCAGCTCGCAAACGCTCGCCGTGCTGGCTGGGAGGGCTCAGCTTTGTCCATGCCGGTTGCCCCACCGGCTTTGCAATATTTGAGAGCAGTAAAAGCCCCAAAGAGGCGTACGGACCCTGTCCAGCTCCAATTTGGGGAGGTGACCAATGTTTAGGGTGTGACAAGCCTGAGCAGTCTACCAGACGGCCTTGATTTACGAGCCAAGGTTGTTTCTAAGCTTGTAACAACAGATTTGGGAGAAGCTGCTTCCTGAGAGCCTGGTGCTGGGACAGGTCCCTGCAGTCGGCACTGCTGGGTACTCTCCGGCTACTGCATGATGGGAGGCACTGGACACCGGTCCGAGGCTCCGACCCACTGGAGCTGCTGGCAGCTCCAGCACAGGGTACAGCAACTCCCAGCACCGTGCTCTCCAACCCACCAGCTCTCCCAGTGAGAAAAGGGATGGCTGAAACCTCCCGGCAACCTCCTGGAGCTTTTTGAAAGGCTCAGCGGCAAAGCAAGGCTGGTTTAAGGCACATGGGCTCGTACCCAGAGACAGACCTGGCTTCACACACTCTGTGAAGGGAACCAAAGCCTCGTTACTGCCATTAAGGCATTAATTAGCAGGCAGGTTGCAGCGCTGCACAGCCGGGCAGCTTCTGGTTCTCAGGCATCGTCCTCTCCAAAGTGGCTGTGGACTGGACAGATGCTGAATCACATTTTCAGGGTGGAAATAGAGTTAACAACTGGGTGCTACTTAAAAATGGCACAGGGCAGGCAGATGGCGGGGGGGTGGTCTACAACTGCAGCGCTTGGAGTGGCTGGGTGGGGAGCGAGCTGCTAGCCATGGGGACAAGGTGACACCCCAGCGATCCCGTGGCTTAGCCTCTCCGCACATACTACGAGTGACCACATTCCCCATCGTCACGGGGTCCTGCTCAACGGCAACTCAACGGCTCTCAAGCTCCTCTGTGCTCTCTAGCGGGGGGGGTTGTTCGTCTCATCCCACAGCAACAGGCTGACACACAGGCTACAGGGCTGCATGGTGACACCCAGGTCCTGTGCGGGCTCACAGGGCTCAGCAAGAACCCCCGGTGTCACATCTGTCACCCTACAGCCCTCTGCCTGTCCCCTCCCTGCACCTGGCCTCCTTCCACTGAGGGAAGAGGTCACCCGTGCAGATGTGCGTGAGGTTAAGGACTCTGAACCTGCACTACTCCCAAGAGTAAAGTAAGCCTGAGGAGACAATTTACCATGTGTAACACTGCACCAGACAGCAGCTGGTCTGAGAATGCCAAGGTGTGTGTGATGGCAAACTCATTTCCCTGAGAACTGCGGGGACAAGACCCCTTTCCGTGCACCAGCCGGGCTGGAGGACCCCACCACCCCAAGGCACTGACCTTCTCTGGTGCCATGCTGGGACACTTCCAATTGTACAGGTAATACTGCAGGTTCCCATCCCCGATCCCAAACTTCAGCTTCTCCAGGAAGGTTTTGTTTTCCATGAGATCCAGTGCATTGAAGACGTCGAACCCTTTCTGCACGAGCAAGACACAAAGCCATCAGTTCCTTCTGCTTACGTGCTGGGGAGTTCCTCCCATCCCCGAGCTGCCCGTCCCCTCTCCTGCCCAGATTTGCACCCTCAGAAGCAGGGACCGAGGCCACCAGTGAAGAAGCTGGCATCGGCATACCCTACCCACCCTTGATTCAAGTGCTACGGACATACGGCAATATAGTTGGCTTCAAAAAATGAGTAGACACCCTAAGCTCAGCTCACCACTAGCTGGAAGGTTCAGGCTATCCCTGCATCCCTCTCCTGGGTGTCAGATCCTAAAGGATTTGGATTTGTACAGCCCTGGGTACAAGCCCTGTCCCATGGCTGGCCCTCTCTACAAACCCAAGAGCAGCCAGGTGAGCGGTGAGCTGCCTGGTGAACTGCCCGGTGGTGCCACCCCGGCCCTGCCATCACTCACCAACTTGGCGAGTATGAGAGCATCACTCATGAGGTCGATGAGAGGTGTCTTGGTGTGAACGTTGTAGAAGGAGTAAGCAGCTTTCAGGCTTTTGTGAGTCGGGTGGTTCATGATGGTGGAGGGGAGGGTGTAGAAGCTCAGGAAGTCTGTCACCTCCCCTGGGGCACTCTGGAAGCCAGAAGTGACACCGTCACATGTCAGAGCCAGGATAAAACCCAGTCGGAGCCTTAGAGGGGCTTTCCCAGTCTAAGTGATGTGTAGGCTCCCTGTGAGGAGACTCGGGGCAGCCCAGGATGGAGAGGTGCCATCCTCCAGCATCTCAAACCTCCCACCGTGGAAGAGCATCTCACTGCCAGAGGCCACAACCTCTTTGATCGTTCGCACAGCTCGCCACATGCTCTTCCAGCAGAGGCGGAAGCCCAGGAAAACACCCCCCCATCTTGCTCCTGTCCCCTCACCTCTACCACAAAGGTGTCGATGATGTTCTCCTGAGGTAAGAACCAGTGCTCCACCTCCTCTCGGCTCATGACGGGCGTCAGGTGGAACTGCTTCAGGTACTCGGTCAAGAGCTTGTGCACTGCGGAGATATCTCTGTGCTCCATTGGCCGCAAACCGGGAGTCTTGGGAGTCTACAGAAAGCGTTACAAATCGTTTGCGTTGCTTGCACAGTGGCTTTTATCACCCAAGGGCTCTGCGACAAGCGGCATGGAGATACTCTCTGCTTAGATCAGCCCATTTTCAGTCCCACAACCCAGCGTGCTCCCCCCGAGCCCTGCATGCCTGGCAGGATGGATGCAATCAGCCATGACACCGATGGCAAAGACTGCAGAGAACCACAGCGAGTCCCAAAGCCCAACATGCCAGGTCAAGTCCCACTGGTAGTGGCCTCCTACTCACTAATGGCACAAAATCTCTGCTCCTGCTCACAGTGAGGGCGGGCTGGGTGACGTGCTCCAAGCACTGCAAGGAACCACCTGATATTACTTGCAGTTAGATTCAATTTTTAATCTAGGGTTGGGATCATTCAGCAAAGCCCAGATCAAGCAGCAAGGACTGCTTCTGGGTCTGTGTTTCTGTGCAGAAATTGGTAGTTACAAAACAGCAGCTAGTGCCTTTGCTGCAATGGGAGGCAGGAGACAGGAGCCATGTGAAAGCAGCGCTCTCCAACCGAAACGAGCAGCTCTCACCAACAAAAGGAGGCCAACAAGGTCGGGGAAGGTGGTGGTAATTAAATGCTTTGTTTGTTGGGTTTTTTTTCCTCCCATATCATGCTGGGGAACTTCCCCAGCAGGACAACTGCAGTGACAGAACCGATCAGTTTGACTGAAGAATGAGGGACTAACCCAATTCAAGGTCACTCCGAGGCTGTCTTTGGACAGATGAAGGCTGTCATATCTGCGTTCTCTTTTTACCAGGAGGACAGGATAAGACTCACCATGAAACAAAAGCTCACAGGGTCCTTTAGCTGCAAGAATTTGCCCTTAAAACACAGGTACCCAGGCAAAAATAAATAAAGATTAGAGTAAAGCGCAATGGCTTGACTAGAGTCGTTCACTACATGAAAAAAAACCCCACAGTTCTCCAGGCAGAGGACTCGACCTCGGCTGAAATGTTTGTGTCACCAGTTCCCAGCCTCGCCCCTTGCTCAGCGAGGAGTGATTCATGAGCTCTGCCTCCGCGGCTCATAGCCTCAGCTGGCACCCACCTCAGGCAACCGGTAAAGCTTCATGGTACGTTGCATAGTCATGTTCCTGCTCAGGTGGGAAAATTTGACCTCGATGAGTTTCCGAGGATTCAGGGACCGGTGCCAATACCTGCAGAAACATACTCGCGGTGGGAGACTTGTTCTTGGGCAGCTGGATGGCCGCACGGACACGAGGTTCTCGTAGCTGCCATGAGAGGGCAAGCAAGAACATCATGCCAGCTTGTGAAAAGGCCAGCAGCTCCCGCAGAGAAAAACAAGGGCGGCCTGAAGCGCTTGTGCTGCAGAAAGTCTCCTATCTTGTGATAAACGAGCAGCTTAAGCAAAGCTACCGGACTTCATCTTTGAAGGGTGGTATGGGGAGGAGAAACCTGGGCTGAAATCAATCTCTCCTGTCCTGGGGAATCCCACACACGCTACACACCAGAGAGAGGATCTTGTCAAGGGAAGGTCTGCAAACAGAAATCTCTTTGGAGAACCATAGACACTCACCTGCAGGTCCCCACAGGCTTCGGTAGCACCACTCCCGCAGTGTAAACAGCCTGAAAGATCCCCTCCAGATGAACCCGTCGCGTGATCTCACGGATCAGAACTGGAGCCACCCGTTTCGAGCGCAACTTTTTGTGGACGCACAGAAAGTTTATCTCTACCATCTTCTTCTCTCTTGGGAAAGAAATAATGCAGAGCATGAGATCTGACTGTCCTGACCTGGGAGGATCAGTTCAACGCCCTGGGCAATTTACCTCCAGTCCCTTCAAGAGGAAGGGGAGTCAAAGCCTTGGGGAAGGCCAAAGGGCAAGGGCTGGGTTTGGAGAACTCTCCCTTAAGCTGTTACCCAAGGTTTTGCAAGGGAAAATGGTCTCAATCCAGCCCTGGCAGATTTCTGTAAGCCAGAGCTCTAAGCTGACCTCACTTGTTGAGGAAAACAGCCTTCACGGCTGCTAACTACAAGATGTCCTTGCACAGAACTTCACTGCCTACCGTAAATAACCCCCATCTTCTCCTCCAAGCAGCAAAGCATCTCCATGGCTGAACGGCATACGCGTGGCTCAGTTCCTGGGAGTGCTGAGGAGGTCTGGCTATGTTGTCCTCCCCAAGGAAGCCCCACATCAAGGGGTAGGATGAGAAATGCAGCCAAGCAGCACTCACGTGTCATAGATGTGGATAGTGGCTGGAATCGCACTGATAAACCCAACCAGCTTCTTGCTGGAAACAACTCTGACTCCACAGTGCCACTGGGGCAACCAGCCCGGAGGACGAAGCGCCCTGGAGAAGAGACAGACTTCAGAAGCCACGTCCCATCAAAGGTCCCCAGTGTACCCGCTCCTGCCTCCCCACCCTGCCCTGGGACGCTCTGTGTCCCGTTCCAGGCTGCCCAAAGTGGCTGTGGGTCTGCAGGCAGGAGGATGAGAGGGTGACAGTGATGTGACAAGGCACGATTGCCAGGATCCAGGGCAATTCCTGCACTCTATGGCCAAAGCCAGATCTCACTAGCAACCTGGGAGGGAATCCATGTTCCTCGACTCACGAACGCCCTGAGGAAATAGCAGCTCTGCTGCAACAGGTCTGTCTCCAAGTGTTATTGCTGGCAACATTACTTGGCAGCCACCTTCATCCTACAGCTCCAGGGCACTGAGAAGTTCCTCAGCTACTGGGATTTTTTTACAAACACTCGAGGGATGAAACCAAAAATGGAAAAAAAAATAATTCTGGTTTTAGGCTTCCATATCTCAAAGAAGCCAGAAGCAGGCAGGGCTGGGCGAGAGACCCCTCTTGCAGTGTACCTGGGACACTGCACACAGTGACAGATGGGGAAGGGAGATTTCGGAAAGAAGTGAAATGGAATAAGCAAAGGCAGCTGCAGCGCTGTCACCGGGATCAGGCTTGCCAGCATCCAACACCCTCTGCTCTGTGGTCGTGGTGCCACTCACCACAGCAGGAACTCAGGAGAGTAATCGAACCGGAACATGTTGTCATCGTCCTCCACGTAGTTCTCGTTCAGAAGTGTGTACAGCTCTTTCAGCTAAAGCAGGAGAGACCAAGCAAGTTAAGATAGATATTCAGCCATCACATGCCCCAGCTGCCCTGAGATGGGACCTGGAACACTTTTTGTGTGACCACAGCAATGGATGCCACGTGCGGTTGTGTCCCTGCTACCGATACATCCCTCTGCTCCGGGCTGGTGGCTCTGGGCTCCTGAACTGGTGCCGCTGCAGAGCAGGGTAAGCAGCAGGACACACAGATAAGTCCTGCTGCCCTCAGGTCATCTCCCAGGGAGGTAGGTCATGGTCTGGAGGGTCTTCCTAAGGGAAAATTCCTGGCTTCAGGCATCCTTATATCCCCAGGAAGAAACCTGGGCTGACCTGGACAATGTGGGAAGGGTGAGAGGTAACTGCACAGTGGGGGAAGTCAGACCCATCTAACTCCAAGGAGAAGGTGTGATCACTGAGCTGGAGAGTTGCCTGGTGTGGTGAAGGACACGTTCCTGTCCCCAAAACCATCTCTGGCAGTCCAAACAGGGAACTGCCAACCGCGCAACAGGGACGCCCTCCCAACACACGTGTGCCAAGGTGCCTATACTCACCACGCCTCTATCCCCAAGGTCCAGGGCATCCCAGACGAAGCCTTGGGGCAAGGTGTATGGCTCTTGACGGATATTGTCTTTGTCTGGCTCAACAGGACCGTGGGTGTTCACCACTTCTCCTGTAAGAGAGAGCACGGAGCCATGAAGACGCTCTCTACTGTTTGAGGCCAAGTCTCCACAACACCTCAACACCAGGTCCCTGGCATGGACAACCAGGAATCACCATTTCACCCACCCGGTTTAGGACGTGCTACACGTTCTTCGTGACACAGGGGCAGAGAATCAAAACTCCTTCCAGGGCAACGGTGGAGCTAATCAGGCAGCAGAGAGGAGGTGACAAAACTGATCAGAGCTTCAGGGCCACAGCTACGTCCTCCAGGTCCACATGTGATGCCTTATCCTTCCCCATCCCCACAATCCCAGCCTCAGCCAGCACTTTCCCATGAGCCACTCCATCGAACAGTGGCTCTCTCCCTGCCAGCTCTGGCCCCCGCCACTTGGCAAGCGTCAGGGTTTCCCTCCCACTGCGCTTAAAGAAGAGCTGCAGTGAACAAGACAACTTTTGTTGAAAAAAGACTGACTCCTAAAACTCCCGATTCAGCCAAGAGATGTCGGTTCAAGCGCCGGCTTTCTTGGGGATGTCAACACAGCGGCATTACTTGAGTGCTGCCAAAAGAAGCAAGCCATGCTAATTAGGAATTCCCTTAAAAAGGGATTGAAAAGGTTTCCAGGCAATGGGGAAGGGAAGAAAGCCCAGAGTAAGAACTGCCCCCATCACACCCACCCCAGAGCTGCTCCCAGAAACGCTCACCTCTGGCCGTCCTCTCTGTTTTGAGCAGGTGCTGAACCACTCTGAAATCCGGCCCCAAAAATCCCACAGCATTTTTGTTACCCAACCCTAAACAGCCTCGTGTACGTAACACTGTGCGCCAGAGCGTGCTCCTCAGCAAGGATCATGAGAGACGCTGGAACCTAGAGAGTGACCAGCAGCCAAAGCACAGCCAGCAATTTGGTGTACTGAGGAGCGGACTGTTTTGGGCCTTTCCTTCCCCAGAAGATACCTTCCACCCTTCCTCCAGAGTTTACCCAAGCAGAAATGATGTTTGCCATGTCCAGGATCCTCTGGGCAAACACAAGATCAGGCTTTGCTGTCTCATATAACCCCGTGCCATCTCACTATGATTTTCCCAGCACAAAGCTGAGACCACTGCTCCCAGCAAACAGTCTTTGAGACCAAAGAAAGTCTCAGACTGGTGCTGACAACATGAAAAGGGAATCAAACACGGTGTTTGCAGCAAGAGGGGTCGGACACAAGCCTATGAAGGAAATTACTGAAGGGCAGTCAATTTGAAGGCATGACAAGCTTTGGGTAAATCTAGAAACTATGGGTTTGGACTCATTCTCCAGTTCTCCTGAACTCTGCACGGATTTTGCCATGGGATGCAGGGGCAGAGAGACTAAGGGAAGTAATCCCAGGCAGTCTGGGAGCACTGCACGTTTGCTTCAATTAGCTTGGGAATCACCTTGCAGCCACACAGCTCTGTGGCAAAGCATCCCTCTTCCTTTCAGATCTGCTCAGCTGCCACGCACTGCTGCCATGCTGAGAAACGCCTCGTTACCGACAACAGATCACTTTTGATGCAGGCTGACAGCGTTAAGAGCAAACTGGAGAAAGGGCTGGAGCAAGGACTAACACTGGGAAGCACAGCCAGGCTGTTTGCAAGGGGAAGAGGAGACGAAGAAATAAGATCCCCCATCTTTAGATGGGCATGGCAGCTTGATGGTGTAGAAGCTCGTGAGGTTTGTGCCTCCCCTTTCCTGGCTCTCCTGGTTGACGCGAGCCCAGCAAACCAATGACGTGGCAGCTCAGCACATGGACCTGCTTCCTGGCCCTTTCGCAACCTGAGTTACCTTCCCCACCAAGAACCCCTTGCTGCGAAGCTTCAACCCCCAGAAAGGGAAGAGCTTGTTAGCTCCAAGTCGCCCAGGACTTGGGAAGAGGAAGGCTGGCAACACCTCGTATGAAACTTGGGCACAGAGGGCTGGGGAGACACAATTCAAGGGCTAAAGATTGAGATTACGGGACACTCAAATGCAGGAGGCATCAAATCAGATGTCTGAAATGGCTCCTTGTCCTTCTTAACACCCTGAGCTGCCTGCACAGCTCTCTGGCTGGCTGCTCAGTCCATGATGCTGAACGGTGGGCAAGTGCCTTTGATGACTTTGAAGCTCAGACAGGACAGCAGTGAGGGGCTGTCCAGGGACTCGCTTGCTGGCCAGAGATCAGCTTCTCTGGGCTTCTTTGAGCTGCCTGGGGACCACAAGACTTCTCCCAAAGAGCATGACATGGCAAGGGGCTGTACATACCTAGCTTGGGCACTGGCTGCGTGTCCCAGAACTGGTAGCTCCTCTTGCTGGCTTCCTCCATGGTTTTGGCAGGGCCTTGACCTACAGAGAAGAGCTCGATGGCTTTTTGAATCTCCTGGATCCTCTCAGCAGGTAAAGAGTTCACCTGAGGGTAGAAAAGGAAGGTGGAAAGACAAAATGAGTAAGGTGAGCCACCAGATCTGCATTTCAGCTCCTCATTAGGGGATCCTGGAGCTGACCCTGCCTCGGAGTGCTGCCAGGAAGGGGAGAGCAGGCAGGATACTCCCTTTCCAGCCTAGATCCTCTTGTAATCCTGTACAAGATGGATAAACCCTTTTCCCAGCCACACACCTAGATCTGGTTTCTAGGCACTCCTGGATCAAAGGGGATGGATGAACTGCCTTAAAACGCTTTAAGCTTCCGTTAAGAGGGTGTTGCAAGCCCCTTGAGCAAACCTCCCTGCCTCACCTTGGCTAACACCTGTGCAGAGACACCCTGGGCCAATGCACTCCCAGCGTCTGGGCTTTCTGCGGTGGCTTTTCTCTCTCACTGCTTCAGCCTCCTCTACCTAAGCTGGATCGATATCCACAAACTGCAGCTTCCAGAGTCCTTGGGCACCAAAGATCAGGACAAGGTGGAGAGGCTGAGTCAAGATGACGGACACTTTCCTCCTCTTCCCCAGGCAGACTTTAGCAGAGTGGGCAGCCTCGCACTGAATTCACAGCCCCAGCTCCTTCCTGATTCCTGGTGAAGTTAGTTTGAAACACTCAAAGCCCCAATTTAATGCTCTGCACAGTCAGAAGGACAAAATTTTAGAAATATTTGGATGGGAACTGGGCACTGGACAGAAAACAACCTCTGTTGATGTGCAGATCTCTGTGTGTGCATCCCCTGCCACAGGACCAGAGGGGACAAGAGGGGTGACTGCCAACCCTGGGAGGGACAAATCTTGTCTGTCTCATGCTCCTTCACGAAGCACCGGCTGCTAGTCAGGATCGGGCAAAGCCAAGAGGGGTAACACAGACCCTGCTTTGACCTGGCTGCTGTTCTTATGTTAATCAAACAAAAATCAACAACATCAGATGTCGTCCAAGAAGTAGGAGAATGCATTCGTTGTACTGGCTGTGGGCAGGAGAGGAAGCTGGCAGTGTGGCAGTTCCCTGCTTGCGAGGAGGCAGCTGGTGTCTGGAAAGAATAATTCCAAGGCGCCAGTCTGACCCTTTCACCGCAGTGCTGGAACTGGCTGGGATATCCAGCCAAGGACCGTGTTTACTCTGGAACACTCCGCAAACACCTTCCGCAGCAACGGGAATTCCCACGCATGGAGCCAGGCTGGGAAATTACTCTAAATCTTAAGTTTTTTGAGCAGCCAAGTGCCTAAAACCAGGACTGGGAGACTCTGTCCTTGTCCTAAGCTACATCAGAGAGACTCAGGATGGGGTTTTGCGGGGCTGCAACTCCAAGAGGGGCTTGGTCACCTTCACCGGCTGGTCCTGAGCCTGGTCAGGCTGATCTCCTCCTTTCTCTTTCTTCCGTTTGGGTTTCTTTTTCTTCTTTTTGGCTCCACTGTCATTTGCTGGACTCAAGCCGCTAGGACACAAAAGAAACATCATTGGTGCCTTGGGATTTTCTTTTGGAGAACATTTCTAGGGTTTCTGAAGCTCTCTAAAGAAAATACAAGCTCCCTGCTCTGAGTCCAAGCCTCCAGGAGGTGGAATACTCGGTGCATGGAAGGAAGCCATGTGCCCTCTCCCCAGCATCCCTCCCAGCAGTGAGCTCCCAAAAGAGGCCCAGCGCCAACATCTCCCTCCCCGCAGGTTTGCTCAGCGGTGGGGACTGTGCCCCGCATCGCAGGTGACTGCATTTTTGCCACCACATCACCCTGCTTGGCTGCACGTGCCTAAATCCACCCCACGGAGTGGTGAGGATGCCCAGCTTAGGTTTTTTCCTCCTCTCTCAGCCCAAGGATGGATGCGGGAGCAGCAAATGCTGTTCCAGCCCTGGGGATAAAGAACCGCAGCAGGTCCAGGCACCACGAAGTGGCTGGTAGCCAAGGACGCTGCACCAAATGTCACCTCACTTGCCGAGGTGACAATCAAGGGAGACAGGTGGCTGTTATATTGGAAAGTTATTACAGTGTTATGCTGGAGCTGGAAAATTAAGACCAAGCAGCAAATCTCTTTGGGAATACAGGGTGGGAAGCAACTGCACCAGAGCATCGCTCTTCTTTCCAGGGCAGCCCCGGACATCCAGATGGATGATCACCCCAAAGCAGCTGCAGGTATAAAACCCTGCACCAAGCCCAGCCTTGCTGACGGTTAAGGCCGGCAGTGACCTGACACCAAAACACAGGAGAGGTTCCTGTTCCCGCTACGGCGATCTCACTCCTGTGTGAGATATCCCGACGCACAACAGGCAACGGTACTGCTGCGGAGCTGGGGTAGTAACCCAGCCTGCCAATGGTCCCTAAAATATGGTTACAGCCTCCAGGAGGGTCACGGCTCAGCTGGAAATTCAACTACAGAGACAGCTGGAGTAGGACTGAGCGGAGGGATGAGAGGGGAAGAGAGGGGACACCAGGCCAGGGGTGCTTTACCAGCTGCCAACATGCACGAGGGGTCTTCTGTAAAGTAAGTTGGGGGGACAACGTGCAGGCCAGTAGCATCGCTCAGCTCTGTCCTGTCCCTGTCAGTGCTGCCAAGTTTGTTTTGCAGTAAAACCGTAGCATCTTTCCTCTTCCATCTTCCCTGAGGATGATAACCTGCGTCCAGCTCGACGGGGAGAGGCCAGAGCGAGGAAAGCCATGGAAAATCCCAGGTGGGAGCCGCTCTTCGCATCAAGCAGCACATCCACAGCACCTACAACCGCCAAGCCCACCACCAATGGGTACCATCACCCACATCAGAGCGGGTCTGGCTGGAAACCACTACGAGATCTCCGGGACTGGGTCTGCCCCAGGGACCCTCCCGCCAGCCTGGATGCTGTGGGATGTGTCCCTGCCCTCCCGTGCCCGGGGACGTCGTCCTCCTCTTTCCTCAAATCTCAGCTCGAGGATCCAAGTCAGTATATTTTTTACTCTACGATATAGAGGTGTCTTGTTCCTTACAACCCCAAAACGATTGCTACTTTCACAGCGGGGACAACCACTGCCCAGAGGCAGATGGTGAAGCGAAAGCACCAGCCAGCCTGGAAAACTCCCCAACAAATACCGCTTAATGTCTTTACCAAAAAGTATTTCTTTCAGCAAGGCCAGGAAAAAGGAGAGAGCTGGGAGGGGAATAAGGTTTAAAAAAAAGTCCCTGGGCCGAGCAGCAAGTGAGTTCTGAAACGAAGGAAAGTGGACAGAGAAATGTTGTTTTGAGGGATGAAGCTGGGAGGGCTGGGTGCGGAGATGCCTGCGGACGGTGAGGCCACTGACGCTCACTGCGCAGACACCCGACGTGACGGGCAGCTGTCACCCTGCGGAGCAGAGATGTCTGGTTTGTGGGACACGGAGCAGCTGAGCTGGGGAAGGTTTTCCTCTGGACAAATCCAGAACAGCAGCGGAGATTCTGCAGATGGCATTTGCTGGGGCAAAAGATTCCCATCCATCAGCAAAGCCCCGTGTGAAACACCGGGAAACAAGCAGTTGCGCAGGGCACGCTGCTCCACAAAAGGGGGCTTGATGAGAAGCGCCCCCCCCTTCTCCAGAAGCACATTAAGTGCTTGCAGCGGAGCAGAGCGAGGAGCAGCCACGAAGCTGCAGCTCTGTGAGGATCAGCATCCCGCAGCGCTGCTGAACTGTCCCTGGGGGGGAAATATCTCACCTTTCCTCCCACTGCCGGGAAAGGGCTTTACCTCTGCCGGGGGAGACGCAAGATCTGACACGACAGCAAAAGTGATTACAGCAAAGCGATGCTGACACTGCTTATTGATTTTGGTGACAAATGCGTGATGGGTTTGTGGTTTGGTTTTTTTTTTTAACTCCTCGTGAAGGAGCATGGGTGAGACCTGGCAGATTCCCAACCAGCCCGTATGGCCACACCGAGGTCCTGGGATGAGCCAAACCATTCACCGTGGAGTTGCAATAAACACATCCAACTGATCTTGTATCACTTTTAACACTGCAAACTGACAGCACGAGGGGGGTTTGTGAACACATCCGAGGGCAGACGCTGGAAGCCGCCCCTGCCAAAGGAGATGGATGCGTTTTCCCAGGTCACCTCCACATTGGGATGCTGCAGGAGTCAGATGCGACAAACAAAATCCTTCCAGCCCCTGCATATTCAGTCAGCATCGCTTTGCTTCATAAATCAGAGCTGCCAACTCCCAACTTGCTGCTAATGAGCTCAGCCCAACCAATATCACTTCACCCCCACACCCGGCTCACAGGTAAAAGCACTGAGAAAAATCCTTCCTGATTTATGAGCAAAGCCATCGTGACCTGGAAGAAATCAGGGTGGCAGAAGGTGGGATGAGGTTTTGCATTCCCGGGTGCTGTGGTGTGGGCAAGCACCATGCTCCAGTACCAACCCGGCGAAGGAGTCACCAGCATGTAGGAAAATGCTGGAAAACCCAAATCCCAACTCGCTACACCTAGGGAAACAATAATTACAGGTATTTTCTATTTTTAAATCCATTTAGGAAAGCAAATTTATTCTGCTTTATGTTCTAGTGTAGCTGCAGCCCCTCGGATGCTCCCTAAATTAATAGCAACATCCCACTGGTGTCCTGGGATGAGGCACCATCGTCCAAAATGCCAGCTACCGCAGCTGATCCAACCCATGAAGCTGCGAGGGCTGAAGCCAGTTTTGCCCCCCAGGAAGGGTTAACTGCCAGATCAGCTCCTGTCTGACAGCCCACGGTCTTCCCCGTCCCTGCTGCGCTTATGGCTTTTTTCCTCCTGTATCTCCTTTCCAGCCCGAGCTGCTTAGGGAGATAAAGCGGGTGGAGAAGGGCACGTTGGCTGCGCTATGCGAAACATCTTCTGATTACCCGCTGGACTGCAACGGTTCATTTTCTGACTAAGGAAAATACTATTCCCTTCTCCTGGGAAAGGCATCACCGCTGTTATGGCCTTTACCTATCCCTGCAACCCCCCATTCCCCGCTACCAGATGGCTCCTCAAGTTCAAGAGAAAGAAGCCGGCGTCAACCACTGCACGGAAAATAATATCTATAACCTGAGCGATCTTGAAATAGACTTTTGGAAGCACCTAAATCAACCGGATGGTCTTGTTCAAGGTGAGACACGCTCAGACTGACTGTCCTCTACCAACTCAGCCCCTCTGGAGGCTGGCAAACACCAGACACATCCAGTAACAAACTGGTGCTTGGCACCCACTTATCTACCACTTGGATCTGTGCGCGCTCCTGCTGTATTCCCAGATCCAAGAGCTTTATTTTTGCAAGGTGAGGGAGGAAAGCACAAGGGAGGACAACTCTGCCTGTGGCCGGCTCCACTGGCCAGGTGGGAAGCCCTGGCTGGGCATGAGGGAATTTTGATGGTAGCGGCAGGGTGTTATTGCTCAGAGCCTTCACGCTGTGGCAATCAAAAAGTGTCTTTTGTTACATAAATCGAAACACCACACTCAGGCTCACAAACTGTCTCACACCTAAGGCACCAAACGGTACCAAAAGCTGATGGTTTGGTCCTCAAAAACCAAACTGGAAACGCAGATTCGGACACGCGCTTGTGTGGTTTGCAATTCCTCCACCGCACGGCCTTGCTTCCTAGCCTGAAAGGTGTCAGATGAGAAAGAGTAGATCCCTGCTCCGTATTTAAGTGTTGGAAAATCCTTCTGCCAAACCTGGGGCTAATCAGGTGCGATACTTAGGCTGTAATCTCATTACGGGCCAGAGTGGGGAGGGAGGCTCTCCAGATGGCACAGCACGGATCCCAAAGCAGAGCATGCCATTATTGCACTCCATAAAACCTCTAAAACTACATTCTGCACGTTAGAGCACGGTGGTTGTCCTAGGAACATCCTCTCACAGTGTGAGAATGCCAAACCTGGCAGCTGCTGCTCCAAGAAAAGCCCCTTTTTTTCCCCCCCACATCTCAGCCAGCAACAACCCAGTTTGTGCCACAGGACCCTCCCTGAACTCTTCCCATCTGAAACCACTTCCCCAGGTGGTTTTGCCAACAACAGACCCGTTTCACAGGGCTGGGACACTTGAATCCTTGGTTTCCCCCGGCACCAGCTCTGGGGAGCAGAGCCCATGCCGGTGTCTGTCTTTCTGGTGTCATTTATCGACAATGGGAATAAACCTTCCACAGACACTGGACACACCACAGAAGCCCTCTCTGCACAAAGGAAAGCGTGACAAATACGAAAGTGAGATTTATTTTTTTTCTTTGGGAAATGAACTCGGATGGCCGCGGCGGAGAGTGGTGCAGCCACTTCCCAGAGCTGACAGGGGATCGAGGCAGAGGAAACTCAATTCCTCTTTCCTGTCCTTAAAAGGAAAGGAAGTATTGCTTTCGCTAAGTAATACTTTTCTGTTTTAAATCTCAGCGCCAAGATCCAGTGACTCTCAGCATGAACTGGACAGAGGCAGGACTCCGAGCATTGCTCTGCAAACCCCACCAGCTCAAGGCACTTCCCCTGCCCTGTTTTTGGGGACAATGTTCT